GGTACGAAGAGAAAATATTCAGAGGGCTGAAACAGTTGCCTCAAAACACAGAGTAATAAGTTACTGTACAAGTCTGTATAACTCAAATTCACTACACGAAAAGAATAATGAATAACCTGTCTCGTCAAAAATTGATACATCTGTGTGTACGTGTGTGTAGACATTGAATCAGAAGACATTACTTTTCTCTTAGTCCTCGATTTATCCCCAGACAGCGGTCTGTTTCAACGGCGAATGAAAGCGGTTGACTATAGTCTTCCCATCATCCACTTGCAAAATCGAATCACTGGATTATCAACTCCACGCAGTTCGATGGTGCACATCATTCAGATATATTCAACAGACGTATCATCTTTATCATCACCATACAGCGTAATACAGTGAGGCGAAATTCATTGATCGCTGCCAAACTCATATTCCATCCAAGGTAAGGGAGAATGCGTAACGGGAATATGAACTGGACTAGCTTTTAGGTACGGGAAAAGAAAGCGAACCTCTATGGTCAACATGCAGAGTACACAGTCCAACTGTGCATACATACTATCTGAAGCATTCTGGTTTGATAAGAAGTGACAACTAGACCGCCACTGCTGTCGGTTCGTAGCCATTACCTTCATTGTCTCCAACCATGCGGTCATTCGTGGCTTATGCAAATTACTGGATCCTCGGTATCGTATCGTCACGTCAGCCCAACAATACCAAATGGGTTTATCTTACTCCGGTAGCAGTAAATGTAGATTTGAGTGAATTCAGATCCCCATCAGTATTGCAGATAATAAGATACATGTTTTGGAGTTAGTGCGCACTTCCTCTGAGGCGATAACTTGATGAACACCACTGCCTTAGGATCAACCAAAACCATTTCTCAATAAAAGTTGGGTCATTATCAGGCACAGTGGTATCCGAAATGTCATGTTCACCGAATAGCCTCGTATGATGTTGACGGTTATTTAGCTGATAGAGTTGTTGATGACTCATCTTCACTCGTTGGAGATTGACAACTGGACCACTGAAGTTTGTGGTTACCGGAGGACACAGTAGTCACGATTGGTGACACGATTTGCGTGTGTAAACCATCTGTTCTTTATCCTCGCCCATATTTGACCACAACACACAGTCCCAGAACTTAATTTTCCTTTCCATTGTGTTTGGTTGAGAACGATACAGTTTCCCTAAGATCCTGTCTTCCTCAAGCAGTTTGGGATTCAGATTCGACCACATCACACACAAAAACAGTTATCACGCAAGCTCATTTTTCCTGTCAATCTCCCCAATAATCGATTAAGCGGTACTGTTAAGGAAGCCGTTTGGGATAAAAAATTAGCAAGAGAAAAGGAACCTGGGAAGTAGCGTACCATCGCCTGCACGTCAGTCATACTCAACTTATTTGATAGATGCTTGCAATGGTAGGTTTTCACTGAAACCGCGGTCTTAACATTTGTTCATACACTATCTCCAGGTGTACCACCGGTAGAATGGTGTTCTTAGACGACAAAAACGCATTCTGAGGTCTTGGTTGGTCATTGCTCAACCTGATTGAAGAAAGTGCTATTAATCCAAAATTTTATCAGACAGAAGACACTTCACGTGCCTGAACGGCAAGAAACATTCAAATGGCCCGGTGGCTTCTTGTGTTCTGTAAGTTGCAATTCCTTCTCCCTTTCTCCTTTCAATGTATGTCAAACAATTCCCGATTCTTTCTAAATAAACAAATGATATTGTTTTGGACACAAAGCACCGACCCCTGAAGAGGCTTTAGAAATTCAAAGCAACCTAAACGACATTGTTAGTTGGTCCGTGTCCCGTTCTCCGTAATTAAACGCCTCTAAAAATGTCAGAATGTTGTGTTTTCCCTGTTGGCCAACGAAACATTCTTATACAGGTTTCCCATCCTTTATACCAATCATGAACTCATATTGACAACAGCAATGGTAAAATACCTTTGTGTTGCAGTGTAACACAAATTATCATGGTCACTGTTCATTCAGAACAAATTCTGTAAAGTGAGAACGCTTTCATATTTTTCATGCTGATCACGAGTACTTTAGATTCGTGAATGCATGTGTACTCATACACTGGTTTAACTGCTCCCCGGTGATTTTCCCCGATATACTGAAACAGGAAGTTTATTTACCGGCAAGATCTCTAAAACACATCTATAAATGTAATAGCATCGCTAGCGATAAAAGTGCAGACTCTGTCCATAATAATCTGAGACATTCATCACCCATTACACGAAGAATTTTCCAAAGCTGTATCGACATCATCCACAAGCTCCAGTTTCAAACTTTAATTTGCATGTAACTCTTCAGATCTTAATTCGGTTTTGCCGGCCCACGGATGGCACATCGACCAGATGCATTTCAGAGACGAACGAACTGCCGGTGCATCGGAACCCCATGAAAAAGAGGATAACCCTACCAATTCTGAACTGCCTGAATCGGACACTGCGGTTCCCCAATGTCATGATCTTGAACACGAAGATGCAATAAACCCGGCTGAATCGGAAGCCTCGACCAGCGCAACGCTATGGAGATCAAAACGAAAAGCAAGTCAAATTGATGACACACTGTTGAGGGAGGAAAGTTATGATGATCGTGTAATGAGTACGCACGCACCGCGGTACAGCTTCCAGGTAACCAATCAAGAAGCGGGATAACCGACCAACCCTGTGGTCTCAATTGGCATCATCCGGATTGGCTGAGTGCAAGCAGGCAAACAGATAAACCATATCCTTGTCGATTGGACATTCAAGAATCGACCAATGATTGTTTGTTGCTTGTAATATATATTGCCATGATTTTCTGAATAGAATTAACTGAATCCACAGCCCGTCTTGGTTCTACCTGACTTTGCGCTGCTATTCGGTGGGTTTTCAGTCCGATACGAGTTCGCGCTATTCGATTTCGATTTCGATTCCTATTCCGAATATTACAATTTTCCAAATCTGTATCGACATCATCCACAAGCTCCAGTTTCAAACTTTAATTTGCATGTACCTCTTCAGGTCCTAATTCAGTTTTGCCATATCTTGCACGTCTACATGTTGACACGGAGAAAGTTTCCACAGAACGGTTTCTAGGAGGTTCAGTTTCATTTTGTATAGTTTTGCAAATTTGCGTCCACAGATTTTGTGTAAACTACCGAACATTTGTCTATCTGAATTCATAAAGCTACTACTGACTTGATTTGACTTGAGCACACACCCCTGCCCCCCCCCCTCCGGAAAATACTTAGCCCAATCTATGGAATTCTGGTAGAAGGAGCTAAGCTGGCAAAACTTTCCCGATGTACGCGTCTAATCGGTAAACAAATATTTCGCATGGTTCTCCATAAATGTGCACGAAACAGATGCGTACGCTGAAGAGTGTTTTCTAGTTTGTAGCCCTTCATCGGGAGATCATTCAGTCCTCGATGGTAAACTGTCAAATCACGTCCGTATGGTGCACAGTGACTTCATTCGATATGTTGGAACTAATCGTTTTGTTGCGTAATCTATAACATCTGCAATGGAACGCTCATACGGTTTGTTTGTGTGAACCAAGTTTGAATAGGTTATATCCGCTTCGGGTATACATCTATAAATATCAAAATTAATTTAGTATCTTCAAATAATCTAACCGAAAACTTATCTTTTACCGTGAATTTAATCAGCGTCGCCTACCCGGAAAGTCTCGCTGATTCGAGAATCCCACTGACATGAAAATACTGCAATTCTGCTTTATCTATTGACCAGAGCATGTGCGCAATCGAGCGACCCCAGAAGAACCAGGATGAATAGTTACTGTTGTGTCTTCTAGTCTGTTGTAAGCTAGATCGCTCAATGAAAGGTTGGTATTTAACAGGGCTTCGTTTTATTGTGATATTGTGATAAAAAGCCGATTCTGGTAATATATCCTGTCATTGTCCACGCGATCTTTCAGGGAGAAACTGAAAGATTACTGTGAGCATAGTTGTTTGATATTGATCCAACAATTCAAGTCCGTACATGTAGTAGTCTGTTCAGATCCTCTTTTACCAAAGTACCCGTCTATCCCGAACATCTAGGCAGAGGCTAAAGTTGTGAGTCAAGTTCCATGGTAATCTTATAATTGAACTTATCGCCCTAAAATTATTAGTATAAGATGTGGATGTTTGTAATACAAGTGGCATCGGACACTTTAGTACAAAGAGGGGTGATTCACTGTGCTTGTTGGTTTGTAAGGCAAAAACATTTTACCTGTTCATGATAATGATTCGGATGATGATGATGATGACTCGGTTGATGATGATTCGACTGATGATGATGATAATTTTGATGATTTAGATGATGATGATGATGATAATTTGGATGATGTGGATGATGATGATGATGATGAGAACTTTGATGAACGAAACGTCCTCGCTGTCACCTTGCTCTTGTTGAAAGATCAACTGTAGCCCATGTGCCACTCAACGCCATGATTCGGCAACGCTGTACTGTTACAAAAGTACCGGAGGCAACTTAGGAACTTACTCAATGGTTTTCACTATTTCTGTTGTCTAAATATCAGGACAAGTTTTCCTAGCACTATTGCAAGATGTCCAAGTATAATGTCCTACTGTCCCGTTGCTCTCATCGGTACGCATCAGTCCCATGCACTGTTCAAGCTGCATAACGATGTCTGGATGACCAACTTGCAGCACAGATTTCTCCTTCTCCAACTGAAGTGCGGAGAGACAGTTGTGAGACATGCCTCGGTCATACGCATCGCAAGTGCTAGTACGCGTACGCGTCTCTGTGTGTTTTGTCTCCCTTTTCATGTCCCATGGATACCATTGAATTACGCGCGGTCGACGACCAAGTCAGTGCTCATGCCCAGCACCGGATATTGCAACAGGATTTAACAGGGAAACAGAGCGACAAAGAAGCTGACTTTCGAAGACGTTGTGCGATAGAATGTGATGAATGAGAATAATATGTAAACGAATGGCAGGGTAGAGTGGTGCATTCGGTGATCGCATCATCTTCCTGCGAATTGAAGCCTATTTTCTGACCGAAGCGGTAGACGTCTTCTTCGAGGTCAAAAATCACGTTGCACGTTTGTCGGTAGCAGGGGCAGCAACCTACGTATTATTGGTGCCATCTCAGAATATGGACTCGTAAAGTGTAGTTCGTTAAGGGAAAAATATAATTTGTTAACTGCGGCTGCCAACTGCACTCAATGAATTGTCAGGCTGCTAGAAGAAGAAACACGATGGTATTTTACTGTACCACGTTTAGTCATCTCGGCTATTAGATGCCCTCTTTGATGACCCAGGTCAAGAAATTGTTTTATTTTAACTTCAGTTGCAAAATCAGCTGCCAAATACCACTTAAAAATGAAGACATGAATATATACACTAGGTCGCCTGGACATCTAAAGAGAATCCGAATATAATTTACCCTTACGAAGAGAAAGTAAAACTTGAATATTCCCATGATAGCATTGAGAAAACGAGTCGGTGAGCGAACAATTGTTTTCGGATAATCCTGGTTATCCGGAGAAGTTCATTGATAAGAATATTCGGCTCACTTCGGGGAAGGAAAACGCCATCTGTGTCCCCAAGAAAGAACTATTCATAAGGATCCCATTTAAGGGGGACTCACATACCGAGAGCCTAGTACAATCACTGAGAGCGGCTGTGAATTCCACTATTCCCGCAGCCAAACTTATACCAGTGTTCTCTACATCGCCGGTGATGCGAATGCAAATGAAAGACAAACTGCCGAAACTGACCTCATCCATGATAATCTACTCTTTTAAGTGCGTCTGTTACATAGGTTGTACGGTAAGGCGTTTGTCTCAACGTGTTAAGGAGCACCACCCGCGACGGTTGAGTCAGGGAAAAACCGGCTGTATCTCAGGCGCGATTGTGGGGCATCTCGTCGACACCGGCCACAAGATCGATCCGGAGAAAGCTTTTGATGTGGTTTATCGTATTCCAATCAGTCGCTCGAGGGCGGCCCGAGTTTGGACACTAGCTATGGCCGAGGCGATCGCCATTCGCTTACTAGGCCCCGACCTGTGTGCCCAAAAGCGATTGGTGCAGGCGCTCCAATTACCTTGGCCGTGTGTGAAAACCAAGACGGAACATGACATGTCACTTGACCCAGGTGGGGAAAGGTCACATAAACTAACACGTTAAACGTTTCTACACAAACACACATGCAAACACATACACATACAGTCCCATTACTCTCTACCTCCGAATATTGACTTTAAAATGAGCCAATGGCTATGATTATTGTAAGAATTTTTTTCACTGTATAATACGTAAGAGTATGACTAGGAATAAAAGAAAAGAAAACATCAATACATTCAGAATAATTCACGAAAGGTTGTGCAGAAGATTGATCGTCAAGTGGTGAGATATCAAGCGGAAAAGTGGGGAGAACGGAGTTGTTTGAATGTGGTAAACCAAAGATGTTGTCACCGCAGGCGCGGAAGCTGAGTAAGTGGAAAAGAAGAAAGGAGACGAAATGGCTCCTTGAAGAATTTCTTATTCGTAAGCTAAAGTTGAGGAGACTAGCACCGTAGCATGTACATTGCTTTCGAAAGGAAATAATAGACGAAGGGACTTCATAGACAGAAGCTGAACACCAACAACACTTCCAAATGTGTCACTGTAGTCCAAAAAGGAACATTCTTATAGCTTGGCATTTTTTATCGAGTGACGACCGAATGCAGTGCATAAAGGAAACCAGAGTATCAAGGATAGATCGCTTAAGATAATAGGTTAATTGATTACAATCCGTCATGTTCAACTGTGGGAGCAACTTGTGAGAAATTAATTTATTTCTCGAATACCTTGAGGGCGGTGGTAATTTGCAATAACGCATTTTGTCATTTCGGTCTGCATGCCTTCCCTGATGACCCTGTATATTCTGACGCCATATTTATTTGCAACTTGCCACTTATCCTCCACCATTGATGGTGGTGTAGTGCTCTGTTCGTTGTCACCGGTGTGCCCCATATAGTCCGAGGTTCGAGTCTTGTCACCACCACCCAGCTTTGGTGGTAGACAGTTTTGCTGTCGTCCGGTTTACTGCCATGCCTGACTTAGAGGGGCCTTATATGGGTTGCCACTCCAAATCCTGAAGGGCTTACATTGCCGGCTCCCATTACTGAACAGTAGGTCCTCGTGACTATGGTGTCCACCGTGCCTGCTGTTCATCACGCCAAGGTGTGTTTTAAGAAAGGGAAGCTTATTTGACGGTGTGATGAAGTGAAATGTGAAGCAAGGAGTACACCAGTGTTGCGTGGTCATACTGGCGCGGGACCTATTTGTAGTGATTCTGGTAATGGTAATAGTAGTACGCACTGAACTCGGAATACGAAGCACGCAATACGAATCACGGAATACGAATCACTGATTCGCAGTCACGGACTGGATCACGTAAGCACTGGACCACACTGGCACTTGCACGCAATATCCCACGTAACCGAGACGTGAGGAAAAGGCCTCAGCAGTGGTAGTTCGTTTATTGAAAGATATAAGGAGAGGGGGTATTAAATAATATGTACAAAACAAACTAATTGGTCATCCGGATGTCTGCCAATCGCATTCTGTCGTTGTTCTGCTTCTGTCTGGGCTGCACGGGTTCTCACCTGGGCCTCCCCTAATGGTTACCAGTTTTCGCTAAACTGACAATAAAGATGTGTGCCACTTGTAGTGCACGCACCGGAAACAAACTGTTATAAGCGGGAACTGTACAAACATGATCCTGAGAGATTTTAATAATTCATATTCATATTAAGTGTTAACGTAAAGACATACAGTTTATTAAGTTACAAAATGCACTTCTATAGTCAAGTTGAGTCAGTTGGCAATCGCAGATGTTAACCGAAATGCAACTGCCTATAAAAATACAACTGGACGTGTCCTTTGGCTGTTCGTCGCAACAGATACGAGTAGAATAACGTCGTAAGATGATGGTTGGGTTTTTTATAGAAAAGGTATCTCGGAGTAGTCTGCCAACAATAGTGATACATCGTTGATCGGCAGTATGCAAGAAAGGCGTTTTGATGTTCCGGAACAAACGTTACAGTTCCCACTATATGTGTAAAAAGAACCTGTATGCTAGCGCTAAAAAATCCATAGGGTCACTACCAGAACGAAGAGAACTATTTTTTGTAGTATTATAAATCCATAAGACAGCACCAGGACGAGTAGCTTTATTTAGCCGTGGAGCAGCATCGGAAACGGGTAAATAACCTGGAACCGAACGAAACATCTAATTTGCAACAATCGATTATTATTTTTGTAATCACTTCTTCATCAGTAATAACCAGTTTGATAGGGTGTTTGTCTCATCTGTTGTTGCAACAGTAAATCCTTTAATCCATTCGTGGAATCCGTGGGAATCCGGCAACCGCTTCCTGGTGTGCACAAACTACTCACAAATGTGAGTAGTACCTCACAGTAATCGGACTTGCATGGGTAACTGTGTCCCTAGAATTTTGGCTCCCCTTCTGGTACCCGACTAGCTTTATTAGACAGTAAGATTGTACAAAACCAGTCCGAAATAGCTACCTGTGAATGGCATGCAATAGCCTTAATCCAATGAACCTCGTTTTCATGGAGATATTTAGTGAAAGAGTGCATTGATAGGACCACGTGATCTCAGCGATAACGAGTATCGCACTCAGAATCCATACCACGGAAAGCAAATCATATCACCATTTGAACTGGGGATTTTTTTGCCAAATTACGCAGTGGTGGTGGTTTTTTTTACAGTTATTTTGATCCTCCGGCGTGTTAAGGTTCAAAACTGAGTAACTATTTCTGTGATTGTCCCATAGAAATGAAATACAATGAACTACTCAACGTATTATGAATCTCAACAGCAGTGGCGTTTACATCTGAACAACATGATCCATTGGTGTCTGGCTGCACTCGCTTGAAATGTAGATCGGTACTCCTGTTCCGGTGATGTTGGGCATGAGCACTGACTCAAGCGCCGATCGCGCATGATCCCGTGGTTTCCGTGGGACACGATCAGATATGAATTTGAGTGCAGGGAGAAAAAACACCCTGAGAGGCAAATGCGTTCTGCCAATTGGAATATTTATGACCCAGGCACATTGTCTCCTCCACACTTCAAATGCAGGTAGAGAAATCTGTGTTGGATGATGATTGCACAGACATCGCTATGTGGATTGAAAAGTAAATCGGCTCGGTCAATATGACTGCTTAGAATGAAATTGCGGCAGCTTGACTTGTGAAAAGTGTAGACTCGATCGATATGGATATCACCGACGTAGTCCGGCCTCCTTGATTATTGGTCAGATTTCATTCATAGCAGTCGAATCAGGCAGCAGATTCCTTCAATCCGCTAAAGGATTGCTATCCTCACAGTGCATATACCTACTCGCCCAGGGCGTTAAATCTCGTTTATTGTTACCCTGGTGGAGTTC